GAATTTGGGGCGATCCTCAGGGTAAGCCCTGAAAAAATAATGAAAATCGCAAAGGTTGGGTTTTCGCCGAATTTTTTCAGGGTCAATCGGGCTGAAAATCGGGGTTTTTTCCACAGGACCATTTAGAAAAGTGGCCGTTCTACGCGCGTTTTAAATTTCAGATCGCTACCTCTGATAGCGGCCGAGCTGCGAATTTTCAAAAATCGAAATTTATTTTCCGCTCGAGTACCTGCGGCCGCCTGATTTTCTCGCTCGTGGCCGCCCCACCGTTTAATTCAGCCCTTTGATGGTAATGAGTGAAAATTTCGTTCTAGACTAATTCGCGGGCGCCCGTCACAATTCCGGCGTCAGATCCGCGCTCAGGGTCGCCCTTCCCACCTTTTGGGCACCCTGAGCTCAGGTTCAACCCTTTCCGAAGGTCGCAGGTCGATTTTGAGCGCGGATTCGGCCGCGGCGTGTGCCAAAACCCCTGGAATCGTCAAAACGCCGAATAAAATCGGCCCGGAAATTGGAGAATTTTTTTCAAAAATTGCATTTTTTCGCACGGCGAGTGCGGAGCCGGTCGCTTTGTCGCGCGTGCCACTTTTATGAGGAAAAACACGCGAATTTCGTTCGGCTCGCTCTGGCTCGCTGAAATTTGGGATCCCAGGGTGTTTTTCGGCGCCCGACCCGAATCCGAGGTCAATTTTGAGGCCAAGGTCACCCCTCGAGGTCACCGGGGTCAAAACCGGTTTTTTAAGATTTTTTTTTCAATTAAATGCCGTCGTCGGAAAGCTGTTCGGACGATCGGATGTCGTTCGTAATTAATTCCTGAGGTTTTCTTCAGCAACGGAAAGTGAATTTTATGCAGAAATATTTACTAAAGTCGTTTTATAATTAAAAATTAGTTTTTTTTTTTAAATTTAAAAAAAAATTATTTTTTAAATAAATTCAAATTTATCATTTAAAAAATTTTAAATGGGTTCTTATGACAGTTTTTACAAAAATTTAAAAAATATATATATATTATATTCCTTCAAATTTACTATCTTCTATAAATTTTTAAAATTAAATAATTCATTTTCCCCAGTTTGGAAAGGTGAAATTCCCAGCTCACGTGTCTTGACTTAATTAGTTTTCTATAAGAAAAATAAAAAAAATCCATCCACATAAGGAAATTTTTGCACCATCATAACCAGCACGATAGGTCGAACCAAGTGCGCCGCCCTTTCGTCAACCCTTGCGCTCGTGGTCGAACCGAACTACGGGCGCTGTTTCACGGTAGCTCCGTTTGTAATAAATTTCTAATTTCAAGCCAGATAATGAATTTCATAGTTTGTTAATTTTATAAAAAGAAAAAATTCCAACAGGACTTTCATATTTATGTAGGATTTAAAATTAAAAAAAAAAATTAAATCGTCATTATAAGGTGCTCGTATCATAATTTTCTCCTTCGCTAACTTTTTTTGATTATTTTTCTTTGTCCATATTGTTGCATTGTTGGAATCCAGTCGTTGAAAACAATTTATTTGAGAGAGAAAAAATGGATTGTTGGACAAACCGGCACTAGCAAGAATTTTTCCAAAGCTTCCAAGATCGAAAAGATTCCATCCGCCGCAGGGTTTTAAAGGTATGTTTGAAGGTCGCACACCCTCATTAAGGAGGTATCATAAATTTACTTAGAAAATTTTGAAAAATCAAACCGTTCTGCCAACTGTATTGATTTCTGCCAATAACATTCTTAAGTTATAATTCAAATTCTGTTTTCAAATTGCACCGCAATTTGAGGTTACGTGATGCCATTAAGGCGGAAGTCACGTAAAATTATATTTTCAAAATCACCTCCAACGAATTTAATTTCTATAAATTTCCACTTCAAATCAACTTTCAATTTTTTCCTCCAGAATTTACCAAAGTGAAATTCCCAGGTCACGTGACCTGTTTAAGGTGGTTTTCAATAAAAAATGAAAATTATTTTCATCCACTTCACAAAATTTATGCACCTTGAGAACCAGCGCCAGAGGTCAAACCAACACACTGAACGATCCAAGGGCTGACGAAATGGGGACACGTGATGTAAGGGGAATTTAGCAATAGCAATTAATGTTTATATTCAGCAATATTAAACTGAACGTGGTTAATCCTTCGCTTAGGCTTTCCTATGACAATCCTTCAGTTTAGCAATACTACTAAATTAAATAAAGTCACGTGACCAAATTAAGGTGTATTATAAAATAAAATTTGATTTCTAACCAGCGCAAGGAAATAATTGCAAACAAGTGCTTCTTTCATATGCAGCTCACGATTCCAATACGGCCTGATTTGCGATTTGATACAATAAAAATGATACAATCATTGTTTCCAAAGAAAAATAAGATCCCACGTTTGGATCAATGCTGAATACGATTGCACGTTAATTACGATTTGCCCTTTTTTACGATTTCCAGAATAATAGGATTTTACGTTTTGTACAGATCATTGTCAAACATAAATAATACGCTCCAATATTAAGTCATATGATCTAATGAATGATACGAGATCCAGTGTATAATACTAACCAATGTTTCCAATGAAAAACTAGATCCCACGTTCGGATCGATGCTGAATACGATTGCACATATATTTCGATATGGCATATTTCACGGTTTTCAAAATAATACGATTCCATGTTGCATCCAGTACCATTTATAAGTAAAATTGTGATTTGATCCGATGAATGATACGATCCAGCGTATAATGCGAACCAATGTTTAGTAAGATCCAATGGGCAATTAGATCTGATGCTGAATATGATTGCACGTGATTTACGATTTGGCATATTTTACGGTTTCACGATTATTACCATCCCACGCTCCACGTTAACTTTCTAAGTGAACTGTAACACGATCCCACTTATGCTATGTGTTACCAATCACAGCGTTTCAAATTATCATCAATACGCTCCAACGAACGATCCCTTTCTACGACCAGTCTATGCTTAATACGATTGCCCGTGAATTAAGATTCGGTGCGTTTCGCGGTTTTACGTTTGATGCACGATTCCGCGTTTCGTACCGTTCACAGTATACCAAGTCAACACAGGGTTTTACGCTCAGAAACCAATGTGGTTGCTAGTTTCTACATCAACGCTGCTTAATCATTTTGGTTTGAACAAGCATTACATGCTTGCGAGTGTACTCGCAAACTTGAGTAAACCTGTTGTACGATAGAATACTACAAACACATTGGATCGTGCTAAAAAAAAAAATTGGATCGTTCCGTATAAGCAAATGCATCTGCACACTAAAGGTTTGCTTGGCTGTCGGCTGGCGTGCGGAGTGAAATTCTGTACAGGTATTGTCATCGGAAACGTAATATTATTAATATTAATTATTAATGGTTCCTTTATTGCCAACAACAAAACTACTTCATTATTACATCTTACAACAATACAGAATTTCGCTCCGCACGCCAGCCGACAGCCAAGCAAACCTTTAGTGTGCATATGCATTTGCTTATACGGAACGATCCAAATTTTTTTTTAGCACGATCCAATGTGTTTGTAGTATTCTATCGTACAACAGGTTTACTCAAGTTTGCGAGTACACTCGCAAGCATGTAATGCTTGTTGCTTTTATTAATTTGGAGCATTATGCATTATAATTAGTTTCAAATCATGTCATAATTATATACATGAAGAAAAATTCAGTTTTATAAGTTATGTCTGACGAGAATTAAATACGCGCAGCTGTCCCACCTTTCAATAAGGGTTTATTGAATGACGAGTGCCACACTGCTGGCAATGCAGAAGTGGATCTCGAGGCTCCCTCCTGTCAAGAAAATTAAAAGCAGGTCACTCAGAACAGAATAGAAGAAAATTGCATGTTCAAGTGGTATTACACTAATTTCCTAAAAGCGTTTAATAAAAATTCAAACAAAACAAGACAGCAGAATATTCTTTTGATAAAGCCCTTCATAAATCTGCAATCAACTTTTATTTAGTTTTCTTTTTCTTGTATTTTTGATAAAAGATTTTATTCAAATAAAAATTAGGTCATTATAAATAAAAGACAATTGCATTATAAAAAATGTTTATGAAGATATATTATATCCGGCATATTATAAGATATTTTATTATGCACAGCTTAGTTAGATCAAAATTAGACCATTCACTTTTTCTTTTATTAAATAATGCACTAATTAATAGTGTCATAGCACTAGCAAAAATAATGATCGAAAGTTTATGGATAAAAAAGAGTACGAAATTGAATGATATATGGAATTGAATATTAAAAAAAAAGGATTTTTTGAATATTTGAAAGATGGTTTCGCATGAATCGAATTGCTGCACTCTGCACAATTTCCTTGTCGCATGTACACGCGCACCCGTATATTTGCTGAAAATCTAGCACGGGCTAGAATTTGTGTTTATTTTAATTGCCAGCATATAATTATGTACATTTTAAAATTAAATAGGGGCTTATCGTACTGTAATTACTGATAATTCATCTCGTCTCGCGACTCACTCAATTGCCCGGAAAAACGAATTCAGTAAAAACTTTGTCTTCAATCTGCGCTCTATTTTCTTCAAAATTTTCTGCTTGAATTATTGAATTAGTGAACCGTTTCTTAGGAATTTCAATTTCATCACCTCTTACATAAATAAATTTAAAAATATAATTTTTTACCGCTGATTATTATAATTAGCTGCAATAGAAAAATAAAAATGAATAAATACAATGCAAATGATAATAATTTCATAATCCCATAAAAATTTACTTCTGCTCACATGCGAAAATATAGTTTAAGTGCAAACTAAGCTTTTGGTATGGATATTGGAATATCCATAGCTTTTGGCACTTCAAAATTACTAAGTTTGCATATCGCAATAAATGAAATCATAATTTGATTGTTGTTTCAGCTATCTTAATTGAATGAAAATAAAATTTTGCTCTCAATCAGAACGCTTTTCAACAATCCAAATTAATTCGAATATTGTGCTTGTTCTTTAAGTAAATAATGCAGTCTTGATTCATTTCCAGCGTGAAGCTTACATCAGATCGGCTCAAGAAATGCCCCGGCGTAGAGGAAAAAAAGACGGGAGTCAAGAAAAACCCCGCAAATCAAGCAAAAGCAATGGACGAGATTGTGGCAACGTAAGAATTTCTATTTGGAAATTTATAAAATGGACCTTTTTCATCAGGCTAAAATGGGATTCATAGGCTCAAAAACGACATTTTAGATCTGTTGAAACACGACGACTCGTTCACCAAATTAAAGAAACCTGGGAATTTTCGGCATCCTAGCTCATTAAACTAGCTTTCAGCCAGTGTACCTTTTGTTGCTCCCAACGGCAGTGTGTTATTTTCAAGCTTGGTGATAAGACCAAGAATTTTTTTTTAAATTTGACCGTTTTCAAACATAAATTTCGCCCAGAATTATAATTTGACCCGCAATCGAGCCGCAATAATACACTTTTGGAAAGCTCAATTCTCTAGATTAAGAATTCCTTTTATTTTCCCCTTTCTCTTTTTGTCCGAGAAAGCATCCCTCCTCCACCCCTTATTTTACTTCAAATTTGATTGTTGATTGCGATTCTGTTGAACCCTGACCCAGATCACGTCATGCCAAAAATATTATGAAAAATGAATAAAATTTTGGAAATTAAAAGTTAAAGAATTGCTTGTAATAACTGATTTAAATTTCATAATTTTTTTTACACGGACACGTAAGAAATAAAAGGGTTTGCTAGGAGTAATCCCATTTAAATTTGAGATTTTTGAAGCAAGAAGAACTTAAAGGAAAAGTTGTAGCTAAAAACGTGTTCTTTCTTTTCACAATAGATTACATGACTAAAATTTTTAATTTTGAGAAAAAAATTTATATGATTGCTATTGGTTAACGCTTCTCTTCTCTGGGATGACCGCGACTGTGCCCTGCAAGCATCCAGCCTCTCAAGCTGTCAGAAATATACACAATGCTAATAACACGCGTTACCAGTGCAGCCGATTCAAGCTTGTGCTTGTAACTCCAATTGAGTCTGTTCCTATTCCAAATATCCTAATAACAATATTATAATTTTCCTCTCTTCCAGTCTCTCATTTTTGAAGTAGATATAATTTTTCATATTCATGTAAATTTAGTAAATATACCATCATTATATTAACCATCAAAATTGTGTCAAAACCTACTTTAGCCTGCAACCAAAATTTCTAGGTCGCGCCGAGTCGCTCCATGGCACCAGGCAGAGCAGCTGCTCAAGTTGATCTCAAGCAAGGACCACCAGCCGGCCGAGTGCGAAAAGTGACAAAGCCGCCCGTAGCCAAGGAACCTCCGGTGGCTCCTCATGAGTCGGGAACCACTGTAAGTTTGATTTTTACAAATCCTGCATATGATTTCAAAATACTCGTATGCATAAACTTGCTCAGCTCCTAAAGCTACATGAAATGAAGTCGTGCACGTTAAAATTAAAATTTAACAGCCTTTACTCGATGAATTTGGGTAAATCCTTCCTCCACTTTTACTGCACTTCTTATTTTTTTTTTTTCATGTAAATTTAGTAAATATACCATCATTATATTAACCATCAAAATTGTGTCAAAACCTACTTTAGCCTGCAACCAAAATTTCTAGGTCGCGCCGAGTCGCTCCATGGCACCAGGCAGAGCAGCTGCTCAAGTTGATCTCAAGCCAGGACCACCAGCCGGCCGAGTGCGAAAAGTGACAAAGCCGCCCGTAGCCAAGGAACCTCCGGTGGCTCCTCATGAGTCGGGAACCACTGTAAGTTTGATTTTTACAAATCCTGCATATGATTTCAAAATACTCGTATGCATAAACTTGCTCAGCTCTTAAAGCTACATGAAAAGTTCAAGGGGACTACGTATTGCAATCTTGCCTCAGGTACACCTTGCACAGTGGGGAGCGGGGAGCTGAATTTTTACGGACTGATTTTTTGCTCCTTAACCGACGGAAGGTGTTTGCGCGTGAATGAAATGAACGGCCCGTTTTTGAACGTTCCAGAGATTGTTTGCCGTGCAGTCGGTGCTTGGGTACATACCACGCTGTGGTTCGCTCAGCATCAATAACGTCTGCTAACAACATAACTAATTTAAACTGCACTTTGTTTTCTCTTTTTTCTATTGATTCGCTCTTCTCGGGGACAACGTTGCCAGTGCTCCCCACGCGTTATTACCTAACAATAATAGTAGGTTGGATTTTAATATAAGCAAACCTGCAAAATTAAAAAAAATGGTTGATAAAGATTTAAAATATTAGTTTACGGTTATTAAAAAATCAAAAGTATTATGGGAATTATCCAAACTGCTGTAAAAATTTTCTGTTGAACAGAAGTTTACTGAAGGTTAGGATTTGGAAATAAATTGATCAGAAACAAAGCGGAAGAAATCACGCCGCCGGGCGGTGGTTGGCTGGAGAAAATTTCCATTCGTTTGTGTGCAAGTAGAAAAGCGTTTTAGATCCCAAAGCCAAATTTTTATCCTGCGGATTTCTACTTTTAATCCTGCAATCCCAGGAATAAAACGCGCGCTGCTGCCACTTGGATGTTGATCAAAAACCTTCTCCTGTTTATTCTTAATCACTCCAAAATCAATGAGGGCGATCCAAAAGCCTAACCTGACCCAGGCTAACTTGACTTAGCCCCGGGCTAACTTAGCCCACCAGCAAAATTTAATGACGGGTTAAATTAACCCGGGCCAGTTTAATTTAGCCTGGGTCAAGTTAGCCTTTTGGATCGCCCTCAATATTATTAAATTTTAAATAAATCGGTTCCTTATAAAAAAAACAAATTAAAAAATTTGATTTGAATAATCTAACTCATAAATACTTGAAGTTTGAATTTTAAAGTCAAAAGTTTATCATTTTGAGTATATTTTCATATTTAATTTCTTTTTAGTTTATAAACAGAAACTCTATTTTCGAACAATAAACACAATAGCATGAAATTAAAGCGAAAATCAACTTCTATAATCACGTCAATTAAAGGAAAATTTATTTAAGTTTGGATTTCTGCAAACCTGAGTGCTGTCGCGGCCGCGGTTCGCAGGGCCTTTAAACTAAATTATTTGCCTTGTGGTTTCCAGTTTCGCCAAACTAGTTTTTGAATAAAAAAAAGAATTTTTCATGATGGTGTGAATATTTGATGGCATTATGACACGGTAATGTGGTGCCATGTTTTTTTTTCTTGTGCTCGTTATCAAGCTCAGACTGGGCGATCAGGCCAGCCCCTGTTGAGCCGCTGCCCAATTTTACATTAGTCGTATGGAGTAAAGTAGACTGCGCCACCGAATCAATGATATCGCCTTATGAGCCGTGAAGTCCCAGTCCGGCCTTGCTTGTTATTCGCCTGATGAAAAAACTTAGTCTGGAGAGATGGTGCAAAAGAGAAAATATAAATGCCTGCAATAGTTGGAAGCAGGCAACCCGCTCACCGCGAGTGCCACGAGCGTTGCCTAGTTTTGCTTGCAAATGCAGGCAGGCACCTCAACTCGTAATCTATAGAAAATCTTTCTTGGATTACGTGCGATAAAAATCAAAAGTAGCTTAAAGTTTGAACGTGACGTATTATGACAGTGATGAAAAAACCTTAAATCTAATATTTCAAAATTTGGCGAGAAATACATTTAAAACCGATCCGAGTCATTCAACGTATCTATTGAATTCTATGTGATTTTAAACTGCTACCAAGTAATTATGTAAATTGTTTTTTCTATCACAAAGGTAATTTCTGCCCATAGCGGGATATATTATGTAACCACTAAAATGTAATAGTACACAATTATCTTCACTAAGCACACTTCAATTGAAGATTATTCCCAAAAATCAGTTCATCCTAGCATACCAAATATGCAATTCTAAAATATAGAAATCAGTATTTCATGTATTTACTAATATTCATATACTCAACAAGCAAGCGTTAACATACTTATAAGCAGCAATTAAAAAAGTTCAAGTCAATTTTTGCCATTTTGAACCTGTACTTGCACCTACAGTCAAGGTATTTATCAAGATTGACATTTTTCTGTTTAGGGTATTGAACGAAAGAGGAAGGTTGAAGAAGAGGACGATGTAAAATTGGTTGACTGCATTTACCACGCCAAGCACAAAAAGCTGAAAATTGACGTAGCGTCTGATGCTAGCGAAAAAGAGAAGACTGCCGCCAAGGAGATCATGAGGATCTTGGATAGCCTGCGTGACGAAAACCTGAAGGGAAGCCAAATTACTGACAAAGGGTTCAGAGGGTAAGTTGCTTTCCTCTATTTTAATTTTAAAGAGAGCATTTAAAACTTTTGGAAAAATCTTTTCAAATTGCCGTTTTTTAACGCAGTTTGTAAACTGTAACAGCTGAAAAACTGATTGGCGAATTTCAATTCCGTTCCACCTCTCCGCAAGGAAAACTATTATTATCGCTAAATATATAATTTAATGAATTTTTGTGATTCATGATATTAATTTTACTGGTTCTAGGTTCCCCAACAAACTCAACTTTTGCTATTCGAATGGACTGCTGCAACTTCTTTTCCTGGCACCCAAAATTTTGACTGGATTTCAGAAACTAGCAATCCATGAATTTCACTTGGACGTGGCAAGCAAGGCAGTCACTAAAGCAATCCAAGCAGTTTCTCGTGAAATTCAAAGAGGCACTGGTCGTGATCTGGAGGCTGCTGTTATGATGTTCCACACTGCCCTTGATGAACATTACGGGTTCCTCAAATCAAAACAACACGACAGTTGTGAACTTTTCACAAAACTGTACTTTGATTTGATTTTTTGCGGTGTTTTTGAATGTTGCGAACAAAGGTTGGCCCCCTATTGCGAAAAGTAAGAATCTTTTTAGGGTTTTTTTTTGCTTTAATGTCACATGCTTCAAAATTAGATGCAAAAAGTTCGACAAGTTCAAAATCAGTGTGAGTTGTCTAAGTATTCTCCAGCCAACAAACAATGCTTCCATTAGCCAAATGATGTCAGAATTTATGGACAATTCAAACATAAACTGCAGCTGCGGTGAACAAACTAGACAAGTTTATGTCAACAAGCCTGAGTAATTATTTTTTCTGATTCATTGAATTTTAAAGAATTATCTATTTTGCTTGTTTGTAGTTTTCTGTACCTTCAAATCAACCGAGTCGCTCCAAAGAAAGCAAAATGCACAAATCCGATTGATATCTCTAGAGAAATAGAAGTTGAATTGTTTTGGTTTGTATTACAAATACTTTAAAAAAAATACATATTACAATTTCTTACTTGCAGTCAAGACAGTAAAAGAATTGTTCGCAACGAGTATGGCATTGTTGGAATTCTGCGCCACCGAGGTGATGAAAAGCAAGGACACTACTTTTGCAACCTTAAGAACGCGAATCAGGAATGGTTCCGGGTCAGTGACAACATGATAGAACCAAGAACAGAGATGACACTGAGGCAGAAGGCGCGATCGGAAGTGTGCCTTGCTGTGTATAAATTAGAGGTACATATTTTAAAATAACTTAAGAGCACTTCATTTTTATAAAATAATCAAGGGCACGAAAGAGGCTCCATTGGAGGACAATGATGACTCTCGGGTTTGAGGCGAATGCAGATGGAGCAGCGTTTTCCAAACTGAGAGTACCTTGGCTTTAAGACTCGATTGCAGGTGTGGGGCCTGTGTAAAAATTTGTTTAGCCCCCTCCCCCGTCCAAAAAAATGTTTAGCTTATTTGAAAATTTTGGCATTTTTTTTTTAATTTTTCTTTAATTTTTCCTTGTCTATTTTTGATAATAATTTTTCAGTAAATATTTCTTCATAAATATAAAGATGAATATCAGCTTTTTTAAGTATGTAACTTATTAATTTTTTTTCACTTGTGTTTATAGGTAAAGAAAAATGAAAATAAATTATTTAAGCTTCATCAATATTTTAACAGTTAAAAAAGTTTCAACTCTGAACATCCAGCTCAGAATAATTTCTGCACGCAAAAGTACTATTCTTTTTTAATATATTTTATTGTGCATACAAGTATACAAGGGAAATAAGACGTTTTGACCACCACGACTACATATTTTTTGTCTCCCCATAACAAACATTGGTTACATCCCACTTGCCTGAAAAACTTAAATGTTTTTTTTCTGAACTCAAAATTTTTATGAACTTGAAATTTTTCTGAAGAAAATGTGCAAATTATTTGACAGAAAAATGTTAATTTTCTGACAGAAATAATCCGAATTCTGATTATTTGTCCGAGGCAAAAAAAAATATTTAATTGAAAAAATCACTCAGAAAACTTTAAATTTTTTATATACCGGGAAACAACCAAGGGGACAGAATATTTTCCTCTCTCGCACTCTATCGTTGGCGCGCTATATCGAGGATCAACAAACACTTCCTCTCAGCTTTCACGCGCTGACTCTCTAGCCCGAGTGGACTTGGTAAAATTTACAAGCGTTTTAACTTTAAAATATTTTTAAAGAAAAACTTGAAAAATGTTTCTGAACGATATGAACTTTTATGAACTAGAAATTTTTCTGAGAAAAAACCGGGTCGGAGGACAGGGGAAGACGACGAGGCTGGGCTGAGATCTTGAGCAGTTGTTGTCTCCGTGGGACAGGGCCCCAGAAGGTCTGGAAATAATCGTGGGGTAAGTGTGATGTATTAACAATGGGATTTGTTGCTAACTTATTTGGTATATAATATTGGGAATAAAAGGGGTCAACAATATGTAAGGGTTAAAATGGGACGTCTTCAGGCGGAGCTCGTCGATGTCCCGTGTATCGTGGCTCAGGTTCTGCCCTTCGAGGCGTTGAGGCTGTCCTTGCCCATCTCGCCGAAGGCCAGACTTCCCCCCTGAGCGAAGTGACGAGACAGGGTCGCCTTGCAGGGGCCTGGAAGGAAGTTGACGGTCTGGTCGGGTGAGACAAGTAGCTCAGCAAGTCGGCTCTCCACTGGCTGGCCGAGCGACCAGGAGGTGATTTGAGGGTGTGTCGGCCGGTCGCGGGACAACGGGTCGAACTGCTGCGGTCATCTCCTGCGGTCATCATGGGAACAAAGATGCGATTTTAAGTTCCTCCGTCAACTGGTCAGTGTCAGTGTTGAGCCTACCTCTCTCATGTATATGGTGTGTTGTGTGAGTGAGCATCCTGGCCAGTTGGCAGAGGGCCTTTTTATAGTCCCTGGTACACCCACCTTCCCCATGTCTTTTAAATGGGAAGGTTCTAGAGGAACCTCCCACCCAAAAGGCATCTCAGAATTTGTGAGTGATTTGTTAAGAAATGCACTCAAAAATTCACAGAATTACAAAAAGAAATTCCCAGACTAAAAATAACAATTTCCCATCAGCAAAATAAAATATAAAATTTAATTATCCCTTTAAATATTAATTCAACAGAATTCAATAAACAATTTTTTAAAAAGGAACTTAAAAAAGAAATAAAACTATCTATATTACTTGTACAGAATGTAACTTGAATTTAAATTATTAATTTCATACCAGGACACTGCGCTTGGATTTGTTATTTGCATGCTCTCGGAACCGTTCAGATATTAAGGACCGTTGCTCTTGGAATCGCTCGGAAAAACTTTTGTTCAAAGTGGGGAGACCGGTGGAGACGGCTGGCGTTTGAGTCTCTCTGCATAATATATTTAATATTCTTGACTTGAAATAATTCCTGGTTTGAATAAAGTTGTAAAATATACAGATCACTGGACAAATTTTATCAAGAATTTTGAAGGGTAATTAAATGAAATCAAAAGGCGTGTAAAAGGCTCGATGAAGAAGTTAAGAAATAGGGTTTTTAAACCACTGTTAGGTTAATATACAGAGCGGAAGTCCTTGTGCCTGCAGGCGCCAAACGGTCATCCAAGTGTACCTGATTGGCCCACAGGTTGATCCCTCCTCCCTTGAAAAGGGCAATACCGGGATCAACTATTTCTGTCTCGCGACTTTCCAGTGCTCATAATGTGTCTGGAACAGTGTACCGGCGAGTTACGAGGCTGTCGAACATATCGGACATCCTCTCCGAGTCGCAGACGAAATTTTGTTCTGTCACATACTATGGTGAGTTGATATTTTTATGCTACTTCACTGGTGGGGTTGCAGAAAAGTACTTTAAATTTTTGAAAAAAATTTTAATTTTTTTTAGAATTATAAAAAAATTATTAATAAATTATAAATAATTAATAAAATATTTTAAAATAAAAATAATTATAGTAAAAATATGTATCACTAAAATAAATTATATTTGAGGATAAAGTTTTAATTCTTGCGTTATATGACGTTATTAGGCGGTCGTTCCGATCGGGAATTGCGCACTGCCGCCAGAACTGGTAAATCCTTATGAGTTCTCATAGATGGGTGCGCTCAACAATTTTGCGCTCGCGCTCGCGCTCACTGGCAACAGTGCACTCGCGCTCAAATTTTTGAAAATGTTGCGCTCGCGCTCTGCGCTCGCACTCTAATTTTTAAAAAGTCTTGCGCTCACGCTTTGCGCTCAAAAATATTTTTACCCGAGGAAAAAGTGCGACTTTTTAGAACACATTTTAATATAAAACAAACCATCGGCAATTAAAATGATAAAGTTGAAGTTAAATTACCAAAATTGGGATCAGTTTTGAAGATTTTTGGTATAAAATCTCTGTTTTTCGTTAGAATTTTTAATCAAATTTGGGAATTTTTGCTTATGGTTTGAGCGCAAATGAGCGCTGCGCTCAGCGACCAATGCGCTCGCGCTCTCGCTCACGATTTTGAAAATCGTGCGATCGCGCTCGCGCTCAGAGCGCGAGCGCAGAGTGCAGAGCGGAGAGCGCGCTCTGCCCAACTATGTGAGTTCTACGCAGCGGACAGCTCAAATGGGGAGATGGAGAGCCACAGCTCTCTACTCCCACGCTCCAGATCTATTTGCCTCGATAATTTTGCAATTCGCGTCTTGAGATATAGTAGAAAGAACTACACAATCCCTATTTTATTTGCGTCCGCGAGGCCTTCCAACGCTACTGTTGAGAATCTCACTATCACTGCCGCTTTCCGCACAAGAAGCGACACGGCCTCAGGCTTACAACCCTCAAGAGGGAGCCCTGGAGACCTTCTCAGAGGACACCGCTCTCGTGGCTGTTCCCACACGAGTTTTTCCACGCTCCTGAAAACTGTTCAGGTGAAAATGAGACTGCTTCAGTGGCAGCCTTGATCTCTCCCCGAGGAATTGGCGTGGGCTGTATAAGGGTGGAAAGAATTACATATAAGGTAAATACTTTCTCTTTATTTTTCTACTTTCCTTAAAAAATATAAAGACAATAATTATCAAAAATGATTTAGTTATTTTTTTTTATCACAAAAATAAAAATGTTTTATGTGCATAAATTATATTTTACGTAAAATTGGCGCTAAAATATATTTGTTATTGAGTTCACAGCACACACCTTTACAAGATGTGTCAAATTCTCATGACATGACCTCGACTCTTCAAAATCCAAACTCTCGGAGGACCCTCCGAGCGTCTCATCGGCTGTTTCAGAGCTCTCGGTGGTTCATAAAAGCCTCGAAGAAAAACAACAGCAGCAGTTGCTAAATACGAATTTGTGTATATTTGTATATGAAGTAGCGAAAAGCGCAAATTTGTAATAAATTATGTTCCTTTTCTTTGTTCTTTATATGATTACATAAATAATGTACTTAATTATATGTTACTACATTAGTAGCACACCTGCTGCTTTTATGAATTTTCGGAAATTTTCCCTTATTAGTTACCATTTTCCTCAAGAGATGGCGGCAGATGTGATATCTGAAGTTAGACGTGAAGTTGACGAAAGATGCGGGTGGTGGCGGGGAGGGCAGGGCGTAGGAGCAGCAGGACGAGGACCGAGGACGGACCGAAGACCAAAGCATCGCCATTTTCCCGAATTGACAGACGGTCGGTCGTCGTGTTGTCCGCGCGAGTTTGGTCGGCCCTGGATCCGCTCTCGGTTCGGCCGTCGAACAGAGCACTCGCTGCAATTCGACTCGAGGCGTGTGTGATCGGGAGCGGCGCGGTTCGGCCATGCGCTAGTTCGGTCCGCGAGTGTTAATTGCGTTTCGACCTGAACGATAGAAAGCCAAGGAGTGCCTATCAGCGGGAGAGCGACTCGATTCGGGCCGAAAAATGAGTCCCAGGAGCATAGCCACTGACAAGGTGAGTCCGAAATTACTCGCAAATCACCGCCAGCCCCAATTCCTCACCGATCCCGAGATTTCGTGCCGAGGACCAAAGAGGGGCCGAAAGTGGACCACCTCGAACCTCGGGCACTGAAGAAGAAAATGCCTTTTGAAGAAAAAATTTAATCAAATGATTTATGATGGATTGAAAAATTACATAAACTTTAATTTTAGTTATTTAGGAAGTGCATGAAAAAAAGAAAGGTATCTTAAGGGGAAGCGTTTGAAAAAAGCTAACGCTTTGATGAATCAGAATTTTTATGAAAGCCCACATGAGTTGTTTTGAATGAGTCATTTTTTATTAGGTATGGAAGGAAAAGTTGATTAGCTTCATGCGTTGATCTAATGCATTCCGTTTGGGCTTGGTTGCCATTCTTCTAATGGGAATCGCAGTTTCCATCACCGTACAAATTTTAGCCTCATAATTGCGCATGTTGATGTCATTTTTTGGCTCTGATGTGCGGACGGGCTAATTATCTGAGACACATTTTTTGGTGAAAGTAATTTATGAAACCTAAATAATATATTAAAACTTCTTATTTTGGTAGCAGGGATGATAAAAAAAGTTTTTATCCCAAGGTTTCCCAGAATTTAACAAAATTTTAACTTTCCATTAATTTAATTTTGCGGAAATTGTAGCAATTTTAATTTCACCTAATATTAAGTTACTTGAAAAATTCTCTGAGAAAAAAAATTGATTTAAATTTTTGTTTTAAATTAATTTAGATCTTAAAATAAGTTAAAACCATTGTTTTTTTAATACATTGGTATATTTAATATTTTCATTACCAATCAATAAAAAAATATTCTCTTGATCTTATTCAATTGTGATGACAAAATTTGATTTTATTTAAACTCGTATGTATATTAAAAATTAAAAAAAAAAACTGAATTAATTTAAAAGAGAATTTAAAATCCATGCACACCGAAAGCAATGAATTGTGGAAAAAAAAATGCTGTGTGGCTTCTTCGTCTTATTATTTTTTTATTGTTGTTTTTTCCTAGTTGTCGCCACTTGCGTGCATAATGTTGTTGATTGAATTCCGAGCCCTTTGCCGTGTAGGGAGAGTGAAATGACACCAAAAGGAAGTCGGCGCGGCGGCGGCTATGGGTGTTGTTTTTCACGAAACTTGAGTGCGCCCGAAGCCCTACACGCCAACTGACAATAAGAGCATAGAAAATATGCTGAAATGAAAATACAATGCTTGGACGGTCTGTCTAGGAATTTTATTGAAAGCCAAACACATTCAAAGCTGAATGGAGTGGCGCCTAAGTCTTTTAATTAAAATATCGTAAATGAAATCTAAAAGAAAAATCGCTTTAAATTTATTGATTTGGTTGAATTTGAGGAGGCTATTTAATTGTCATCTTTAAAGCAAATATTAAAATAAATAAATCGCTCACAATCTCTTTCCAATATGACAACTGAATAAAATAAATATATCGATGGAGATTTAAACGCTTAAATTATTTTGCACATATTCAGTGATAATGCATTCCTAAATTATTTGTTTAAAAAAAATCGAACAGTCAACACTGCTGAAATATTTTTTAATTCACTATTTTATTTAGAGATTTTGAACCCCTTATTCCTCCAGCCGGTCGTCTGCTCCAGAAAGAGACCCCTCGCTGTGAACAAGCTCGGAAACAGTCTCAAAATTTGACAAAAACAGCTCTCACTGTGGAGAGGGACCTCCTCGGACGAAACTGAATCAAAGAAGCGACGCTGGAGTAAAAAAAACGCCGAATAACTCTGGCGCTTAATTTATATTTCAGCGTGTCCGCCGGTCGGTCGGTCTCGGGTCCATTTATCTACCTGCACACAATAGCTGATTAAGAAGGAGAGAAAAAAAAGAAGAAGTTGTCGGCCGCTGGAGCGAGAAAGAAAATCTCCGAGAGCCAGTTCAGCCCTATTCGCCTCGGCATTTTTTCTCCTCCTTCTCCAGCTAAAAAATATTTATCGCTCTCCCGCACACGAAAATTGGAGTGCATCCATTACAAAAACTAATGAAACGACCCTGTTATTTTTTCCTCTCGGTGCTGCCGGCGACATTTATTTCTTCTTGTTTCCTTCTGCTGGCTGCTGCTGATTGAGAGAAATGTGTTCTTTTCAGAGCTTTTCACTCGCGCGGTTGTAAGAAGCCTCCCTCACTGCTCTGCTCTGGGGGTTAGCGGGAGACGGGGTGTCAAATTTTAGACCTGCTCCAACAGCTGGCACCCATCTTGCCTTCCCCGCTGGAGGAATGCAAAAATCAAAGTGTGAAACGAGAGACACGCACTCCAACTCGCTGCTAGTAAAAAAAATAATTAGTCACGGAAATTCTCTGAAAAATTGGCATCTGAACAGCCTTCGTAAATCTGAGCTTTGTAGTTAATTTTTTAAATCCACAAATTGATCGAGGAAGTTCAAAATATAATTTAATAAAAACCTGGTAAATTTAAGTTTATTGGCCAGTTTTTTAGCTCTCCTAAATTTGCCATATTATTATACTGAAAATAAGTAACAGGACCATTATTATTTTGTTATATAATCTTCCCAGCGTTATTGATTGTTGTGGAGTGTTTCAAATTTGCAAAGAAGTCGTCCCTATGCCGACGTAGGAAGCTTTTATCTTGTTTTGCGTTGGTCGGCAAAACGATAATTAATATATCTCGCAAGTTCCACTTTCTTCCCTCGCGGCGAAAGCTTCAAATTGGTTGGCTCAAAAGACCGGCCGGCCAATGTCGACGTAACGAAAATAATTATTGCCCACGAAAAGCGTTTTACTGCCGGTCTGAATTAAGGAATGTGGATCGATTGCCGCATCGGACGCGAATATAATCATTATGCAATGCAAATTAAAACGGGAGAGTGACGAAATTGGCGCGCAGCTTCTCAATTTGCTTTATAATGCAAAGATAACAACTCTCGGGAAATGCGCAGGAAGTGGATCAATTCATTGCCAAAAAATACAAAGTCAATTTTATGATGAGCCCACTTGAAACAAAAATCCTTTTCGAAAATACAATAATAATAAAAATCATATAAAAATATTCTAAAGATCTACAACAGAAAATTAAGATTCTATTTCATTATTTTGATTTCCCTCTGCTGGTCTTCAAGATAAAGTATGAGTTTTACCTTCTGTGAAGGTCGTTCAATTTCGACAGGGTGTTATTTTACACCTCGATATCTTTTGTGGAAAACCATTCTAGCGGGAAGTACGTATAGACAGACACGGGCTATCGTTGTTGTACTGACTCACGGAGCTATTGCGTCCTCGTTTTGTGCCAGTGATAACAAATTGTGGGCGGAAACGACCTTCATTTAAAATACAAAAAAGCCCAGAAATTGCAAAAACAAAAGTGACACAAAATATATAGCTTATATGCAAATAAGAAATAGAAGTTGAATAAATGCCTCGCCTTAAATTAAGTCGCAGAAAACGAAACTTGCTATTTTCCAAAATTGTATTAATAGGTTAACAAAATTTGATTTTTATTGTCCGTTCATATGGTTTTCCAAGAATTTTTATTATCCTAAATATATTGAATAAAAAATATGATTAACCGTGTTTGAAAGTGCCATCGCTATGTAAAGCTTGAGCGCGTGAAACTAATTAAAGCTGTCGCCTTTGGTGTGCATAAATATCGGTGTTTGAATGAAAAGTGTTTTGAGCCGCGCGAGTTTTTGAGCAGTCAGTGCCCTGCCTTGAACATTCCGCCCTTCAAGGATGTCTACACCTAGGGCCATCATGGCGGTTTGTTTCCTTTTGATAACTATTTATTTCTCCCGTGCGCCAAATTTGAAACCACCGCGGATGAACAGAGAGAGCTTCATTTTTTTCGTGACGCTTCTCACTTATTTTGGGCTGGTTTTGTTCGTGTTATTTACGAGAGATGAAATCTCGTCGGCGGCGTCCAGCCAAGAGCAGGAGGAGGAGAAGATAAAAAAAAAAAAATATAAAAGATCGACGTCTGGCAACAGTGCGCCTTTTTCGCTCTGAAGGAACCTTGCAGGTCAAGGCGGATAAAAGCGGCAGGCAGTCCTATGTACCTTCCTAGAAAGAAGGGGCCTATTCTAAACCCTCTTCTTCTTCTTCTCCTGCAGCTCACGAAAAATGAGAAAAGAAAATATTTCGCTCCCTTTCAGCCGCGGCTGGGCGGCTCTTTCAAGCTCCTCTCGCCCGCAGATAACATTTTCCTCAACCATCAACAACAGCCAGGCCAAATTGTTACAATGGCCCGTTTTAAAGACCAGAGCTGAGAATAAATAAAGCCTTGCTTTTCTCCTGAAAGAGCGTGTTTCGTTGTTGAATGAGATGGAATGTTTGCCACTAAAATTGAAAGAAGCGTCAAGAAAATTTAGCTGGGAGGGGAAAGTAAGAAAAGTCTCAAGTAATAAATTTTTTTTTTTTTTTTATTTGCCATTTTAAATGACTTTGGCGGAAATCGGAATATATTAATAGAAGAAAAATAATAATTTATTTCATTATTGTCAACTATTTTTTTTCCAAATTTGTGTAGGCAATTTCATTCGACCCAGCTATTTCTCTAAACATTTTTTAAGCAATGAATTTTTTAAATATTTCTTCTGAAATTGAATGCAGAGCACAGAAACCTTTGGACATATTTATGGACGTGGAACTAAAGCTTAATCTTGTTAAGCAAATAAAATTGACATCTTGCCATCTTGGTTTAATGCTGTTGGAAGTCGAGGGCTGCCCGTTAGTGGCGCAGCAGAGTGTGCTCCAAATATCGGAGCGTAGATGCGAGCACGATGCCAAACAAGTGCACACATAATGTAGGTTTCCGCGAAGAAAAGTGCATTCTCTGCTCGCTCGTCTTCTCGTTTGCCTTTTTTACTCATTCGCGCTGTACAGTTATTACTGCCGCGTCCGTCCGTGCTCGCATAAATTTGCTGCGCCGATAGGCAGCCAGACGCACTCAACCTACTTTCTTGGTTGCAAACACAGACACGCAGCCAACGGCACCGAT